CGTGTTAATATTTATAATTTTAGAAAAGTGAATAGAATAAAATAATGATTATTATATTTATTTTACATTTTCTAAACTTAATAGGATTTTTATATTATAGCTCTTGATATTATTATGAAATCGTGAATTCGTGACTAGCTATAATCATGTGGTTACTAGATAATAATAATTTTCTATTAGAACCACAAGTATATCAGTAAATTATAAAATTGAATAAACAAGTATTTGAAAACCAAATATTGAATTAGACATAAAATGTAATAGGTACCTACTTAATATGATTCAATCTCATAACATACAAATATTATGCTATTATATTATGGAATAAATATCTTCACTATTATACCAAAATACTTATCCTGGTAATATTTTTTCTTAAAATGTTAGGAGTATACAAAGTACCTAAAACATATTATAAGTCAGTTATAATTTCTTCTGTGTTATTAAGTACGATTAAATATTCGAATAATTTATATTTAAAAAAAACATGGGCTCTACATTAAGAAACTTGATTAATTTAATTAATCAAAAATTAAATAAAAATAAAACATAATTCGCCAAGTCTTGTAATAAATGTTAAAAAATTGTTAAAAATATTTTATAATAAATATCAATTAATATTATAAAGAAATAAAATCACCTACCTACCTGTATACTTGTTTGATTAAACCATTTTAAATATAGAAAGAAACTTTCATGAATAATATAATATTAGGATTGATGTAAATATATACCTAATAATGCTAACGTTACGTTTGTGATACCTACGTGAAGGGGTTTATTAGAAATGTTCGATACGAAATCTTTGATACGTGCTACATTCGTTTACCTATAATTAATTTTACTTTTTATTTCCTTGCTCAGTCAAAAAAATGTTTGCAAAAAGTGAAAATATATGGGTAAACATATCCAACAAGAATATAATTATTTGTTAAATCTCTTCTCTAGTTATAGGTTCGGCAACCTTATTCTGTTTGTTTAACCATTCTCAAAATTACTATAGGTACCTACTAAGTATTACAATTTAAATATTTATGTACATGACTTATTGACTTATATCTAATAATTTCGATTTTTGAACATGTGATTTGATACATTTATTTCAAGATAAACTTATATAACTCCTATAATATTCTTGATATTTGTATACATTTCATAATTACATGAGTATATTTTTTAATACAAATATACAATAGAGTTAAAATTATTACAACATCGTTTGCATGTTTTGTATTTTGATTTATTTTTTTTAATTAACATGATTTTAGTTGAAACGTAGAAAATGTCTAGCTATGTATATTATAATATATTTAAAGTTTAGACATTAAATGTCATAGACGTGATCTTGTACTCAAGGATAGAAACCAGTGAAATTACGTAATGGATGCTAATGAAAACAAACATAATATCATAGGTCGATAAGTTTTAACAAAGATCGTTTGAATTAGAGAATAAAAAATGATAATTTTACATTACAATATATGAACCATTTTACAAAATCTCGGTACCTATGCAAATCAATCATTGACACTAAGACTTTCACGGGCTGTGTTTACTTCCTTTATGTTTACCGTTTACGTGTCGTCCGGTTGAATTTGGCCCGGAGCTGAAGACCGCAGAAGGACGACTAGTGCAGTTAGATTATATTAGCCGATCCACAGCGTTTAAAAAAAAACAGGTTCAAAAAGTGAAATGAAATTGGCCACCGTGGAAATACGTCTCATCGCGAAAGTAGTAAAAAAATATAGCACCCACTTATGTTATAATTATTGTCAATGCACGTGCAATTAATATGAAGAATATATGGAATATCCGAATATGAATATCACTTTCACTTATAAAAAACCAACGGGGGTGTTTGTACGTTTTCTTGATGATACCTATATGGATTATAGTCATAAGTTGAGTAGTGCCAATAATTAATAAAATATGAAAATACCTATAGTAACATTTATAGAAACCAATAATATAGATATTATTTTTTAGATATAATTAATTAATTGAATTTATTACTTAATTATAAAACTAAAAAATTCTATGATTGTTTAAAATTAAATAATATCACATACAAAATATACAATTCCAACTTTACTTACAACATCGGAAATTCCCAAAGATATTGATACAAGAATATATTATATAAATAAAATACTAAATTTACTAATTGGTAATTAATAATAATTAATTACCCCTAAAAACATGACGACCACGACTGCATGCGCATTTCACAATGAAAGTTATAAAATTAATGCACATTACCAAATATACAGTCATTATTAAAATAGAATATAGATAAGCAATTAATGTAATAGTACATTTGAAAATAAATATAAATTATGAAGCTACCATATGTGTGTTACACTAATATAATAATATACAGAGTAATAGGCACTACCTAAAGTATAATTATTAATTATTAAGAAATAATTTAGAAGTAGGTTTTATAAGATAATAACATATTGTTTTTATCCATTAATTTTAATCAGCAAGGTTCTAAGAAAATGTTCACAAATTTTGCATTTAAGATGTTGACTTTGAAACATGCTTTTAAAATGTCAATTAGTTTCTGAATAGTTCGAAAGAATGGTAAAATAGTCAAAAATATTGAAAATATCCGTTTTTAATTTATTGTATAATATAAGTATAAAAATCATTTAAATGCTGTACACTTTTAAACTAATTTTCTCTATCGTTTAGGTGTATAGATCAAATATTAAATAATAATTATGAAATATATATTATACACTTATTTATATTAAATTGTATTATTCCTTATAATGTTTAGCATTTATTTTTTAAATAGGGTTTTAACTATGAAAATTGAATCAATATAACTTAAATAGTCAGCAATTTTATATAATATAGTATATACCTATTACTTATAAATATATTATATTAATCACAAAACAGTAACATGGTGTCACTAAATCATTAAATACTAAAACAATTTAAGCTTTCTGTAACGTCATTCTATGCTTGATGACTAGAGTACCATGGGCCATGACTAATGACACCTTATGTGTAACCTTCATGTGCCAACAGTCAGTGAAATTCCATCAACAAATTACTAACGTTTCTGTATGCAACTAGGATATATAAAACACTGGCCACCAAGTATTTCATTTTACTCACCAGTCACATATAAAAGATAACCTTATAAGTTATAATACAAAAATAGTAAAAGAAAAACATGTTTAGTGACAAATTATTTACTTTAGAACGTAATAAGTGCATAGATCTTTGTGATTTTAAATAATTAATTTCTAGACAAAATGTTAAATAATTATTTTCGTGTTTAGGATTATCGAGTTTGATTATTCATTTAAAGTTCACTTGGAAATACTATAATTTTTATATTAATATGTACCTTAAAACGAAAACCATAGAAAAAGTAATATAAAACTATTTTTAATATTTTGCTCAAAATCATTCTAAAAATGTTAAAATAATTAATTTCCATTTTATCACATTTATTAGTTATAAGTTATAAAGCTTTAGGTATAACTTATAACTAAAGCTACATAACACCCTAAAAAATAAGTAGCGGTTACATTATATTTTATACTAATATAAGTAGGTAGTAAAACTGTTCATAATTTTAATCACATATTGAATTTTGAATCACATATGATTAAACTTTGTGTTTATATATTATTATTTATTTAAACACAAGAAATACATATTTGTTCGTTTTAAAATATTTGCAACAATAGTTTTGTTTTTTTCTGGGATGAAAGATTTTTTTTTAATCTCATTAAACGCATTAACTGACAACTACCATTGATTGTAAAAATAATTTAAAAGCAAAAATCTTATTATAAATGTTTGGTAAAATTGATTACTTACTCCTGGAAGTCAATATATATTACAAAAAAAGCTTAAATGCAAATCCCTTAAAAAAAAAAAAACACACACATAACAAAACATAATAATAATATTTGTAAATGTGTATATTAATATAAATTTGCAAATAGTTAAATACCTACTTACATTAAAAAATGCTAAAAAAAAAAATTATTATTTTAAATACGCGAATATTGTTGTTTTTTACTGAAACAAATGCATATATTATATAGGTTAGATATTTTCGCTTTAATATCTAGCTTTCTTTTAATGAAGTTGTTATTTTTCACTGATTGTTTTTCTAATTAAATAAGTTTAAAGGTTTCAATAAAAGCTATTAACTTTATACTATTTTAGAGCCTAGAGGTCCAGTACAGAACATCCCCGAAATGATAAAAAAAAACCTAATCTCGATAGTAATTCAAACTAATTTTAAATATTGGTTTTATCACAGTTGACAAAAGATTAATTTGATGTTGATTGTTACTGAAATAATTAAACTGTAATAGGTACATTAAAGATCTACCGGGTCCGCTGTGGTAAAGCGTGTGATTTACCGATAAAACAGTAGATAAATAAATTATATTATTATTCAATTAAAAAAATAACTATATTTAATACATGAAAGTACACAAAACAAATGATACAATTAGTATTAGTCAAAAATTCAAAATATATAAATTGTGTTCAAAATATGATAATAGTCACAATATTATTTTTTATGAAACATAAACTTTTTTTTATGTCTTCCAAAAAATGTACAAATAAATTATTTCTATTCTTTGTTCTAATACATCCCCTTTTTTCTAGCATAAACCAAACACCCAAGGACCTTCGATCCTACGTCTATAATTTCGGTTATTTACTGGTTGATTCTCTTTTTCAGGATCTGAAGTATCAGAACTATGAGGTTCAACCTAGTATTGAGGATCGCCTAGTAAAATTCGTCCTTGATTGTACTTACGTTTTCCGCGTATTTAGGACTCATCAACTTGTACAGTTTCTCCTGGACCTCACATTGCTTGGCGTTTGTCAAACAATGAACAACAAACATCTCGACATTGATTAAACCAATCAACAACGGTCGGTTTAGAACTACCAGTAAGAGAACATACTGTTGTTATTGGGAGTTCTTGAGTCAAAAAATAAATTATTTCTTATATCTGACCCAAACTTAGATTTGAATGACAACGAGAATGAAGGTCGGTGTATTTAAAAAATAAATTATTTGATCCAATTGATTTGAAAGTTTGACACCCTTTTACTACGCACCTGATAAATTTATATTCTCTCGTCTCTCCAGATGCTAATCTCTTTTTCCGTAAACAAATTTTAGTAGCAACACCATATTTTTCGCAGTTATTAATTTCATGTTCTTTCGGCAATAGACCATGGTTTTGAAGAAATTCTACCCTAGAGTTTTCAGAATTAATAATTTTATAAAAATCCGATGCTAACATTTTTAAAACACACTACGTACTCGCGCACACATACGACTAGCTTAATGGTAAACATATAAATGCACAGACGATAGACGTAGTGACCTGTTAGCTATTTATTTCTTTAATCGGTTGTTTCAAGACGTTATCGTACATTATCGCCATGTATTTAGTCACAAAAGGCATATTATCCGTTACCTATTAATAGTAGATCACGGCGGACCCGGTAGATCACACGCTTTACCATTGCCCAAGATAATATATTTTAACTACCTAATCAAATATTTATGAATATACAATATAAATTTGTCATTATTTCGGTGTACATGGTACACAGGTACAGAGTTTGGCAGAGGTCAGTTTCAACTATTTTAAATGTAAGGGGTGCTACCCCCAATAATGCCACTTATAACAAGTGAGATACTGAGATGTTATTTTTGATGTTTGTTAGTATAAAATAAGAGTATTTTCAAAAATATATTTTTTATTGCGAACAATTTGGTTTATTCATTTTTAAGTCATGAAACAATTAAACATAATAATTACACGAACTTTACTATATATGCACGTATTCAAACAACATACAATAAGCTGTAATAATTTTACAACAATTAAAATACTGCCAATTATAATCTAATTTTTATCCTAACGAGCAATGTTTAATGTTAATACCTACCTACTTTATTTGTATAGGTACATTAAAAATTATGTTTTTATTAATTTTATATGCTAAAACATAAATGTACCAAACCATATATTATTTTTCTTTCTTATCAATATGCCTAGGTAGTTGTAGGTGCATTGGTATATTTTTAGTCATTAATTATATTATGAAATTAGAATAAGGATAATTGTTATTATATTCACTGTTGTTGAGTTGATTCCTGAGATTTACTTTATGTATTAGACATTAGTTGATTCCCGGGCTATTAAGAGGTATATGTATGATTATTGATTCTTCTATTATTGAATGAACACTTCAGCCTATTAGCGTTGCCCAAGAGACACCACTAGGAGGAGGCTGGCTGACAACTATCAAATATTTTCTTCTTTTTAGTTTTTTCATATTTTGAAAATCATCATGGAAAATCATACAGATTTTTTATTTTGAATATTTTAGGCATTCATTGTTTTAAATTGTAAAAAAGTAAATCTTAGTAAAAAAATGTAGGGAATTGCATTTTAGTTTTCACTAGGTAGAAATATGGAGCACATTGCTTTTTTAAAAACTGATATCTGGTAATGAGATTACCAGTTTACTTGTTCACCACTTCTCTCATAAAATCTTTTTTTCTAGGTTTTTCTTGGGTTAAAATATCTGTTATTTTTGTTTCTCATAATGATATACAACAATAAGGGAATCCACTCGTACATAACTCTCAATAGCCACTGAATCAATTCAACGGTATCGGTGCAAGTAAATAGGTACCGGGTAAATGGTAATCAATCCATACCCATCCATTATATTATAGATCCCTGGGTTCAAATATATTGATCATTATTTCATTAATATACATTTACATATAAATTACAAATCAGGGGTTACAAATAAATAGTTATCAATTGACAATGATCATGACACTAAACTATTATTAAAAATGAATCACCTATTAAAAAACACTGCGATCACTACGATATAAAACAAAAATAGAAAAGTTCTATGCATTTGTCATGTTGAATTCAGAAATCCAAATTATTTATTTATAATATATATTATATTCTTTAGGCCTTAAGTCTAATTAACTATGCAAGTATTCATAATTCTCATTTTTCTCATGGTATAAATAGCCAACACTTTTTCCGTAAGCTTAAGTTATAATGTTTATACTAACTATTCAAAATTATCCCTCGAAATCAAACAATTACCTATTACCTAAGTATTCAATAAAAAAAAAAAATAAAAAAACGAGACCTCAAAATAATGTTGGACTATAAAATATTAATATCCAACCACAAACTATTTATCTCCGGATGTCTATAGGTATATAATAATTATAATATTGCACAATAAGAGTACATTTATCATAGTTAGATATACTATACCTAGTTTGCGTGCTCGTGGTGAACTCGATGTCGTCACAGATTGCGTTGTTATAGCCCGGCTGCAGGGGATTCGACCGGATGTAAGTTTACCTCAGAATGGTGGTTACTGGACGTAGGGATTATCATACAGATATGACGTAATATGAGCAGCAATCGGGTCTGAATCACGAGTTATGTGTGGACCGCATACATTCCGAATATCGAAAGTAGTTGGTTGTTATACTGCACTTTTACCCATAGTTACACGACTACAATATTGAAAAAGGCGTGTTTGGTTTATGGGCTCGTAAGGCCTATAGACTATTACTCATTATATATCATAACCCCGGGTAGTAAAAATATATATGTAATATTATTACACTAAGACGTGCCTCCTATTTATTTTTATCTAATTTAATTTCATATACATATGAATACTGGGCACTACACAATTAACAATAACTTACAAAATAATAACTAATAATAATATTTTTTTAAGTCGGGAAATTAATTTGTCCACTTATAGGTACTACTGTACCTGCGGAAGAAAAGAAAAGAATTAAAAAAAAAAATTGTAAAATAACTAAATATAATAATACTAGGTACTACAACTATATCGGACTGAACCGGCCGGAACCGAACCGGAACGGGCGCACGCGTGGGCGGGCGGCGATCATCGCGTGCCGCGCATTACGTGACGACCACAAAAATAATAATAATAATAATAATAATAATAATAATGATATTATATTATATATTATTATCGTAGTATCGTTGCCGCGGAGGACAAGTTCATCGGCTGCAGATTCAGCCGGGTGCCAAGGGTAACTGACAACGCGTACCTATATCCGCAGTGGCGTCTGAGAGTAAAAGTATAACGTAGGTATATGTATTATAATAGGTACCTATATACATACCCGCATGCTGTTACACACGTATAACGATATTATTATTATTATTATTATTATTATTATTATTATTAAAATGTATAACATGAAACTGTCTTTATAACGTGCCACCGGTGCGGTGCGGGCGACGGGGAAAGACCGATCGCTGACTCCGACTTGGCGGGCGGGGCGTTTCGTACCTTCCTACAGGTTACCGCTATATATATAACGAGGACTCGAGCAGAACGATGTGCGATTCATATTGCCGACAGTCCGACAGCAAGAAGAAGACCGTTGGTTAAAATAATATCATCGCTGCACCACATTATAATATTAATCTTGTACTTCTTTTCGTTTTTATTATCTCATTGGATTACGATTTTCACCGCTCGCCGACGTCATGTTATTGAAGATAACGCCGGTAAGTCATTCAATATTATTATATTATAAAGAGCACCTTACTACGATGAATATTGTATGTATGCCTATATAGGCTGTAGGTAGGTACGATGTAGCACAGAATTAGACTTAATAGATCCGTATCATGAGGTATTCAAGCATCTTATTCAACATATAAACAAAACCGCGATTTTTAATACGAGTTTATGCGCTTACCGTACATTTTGATGACCATGTCCATTGGTCCATTTAATCGAAACCACTGGAAAATCCCAATTTACTAATTATGTTGATTTATATTGACTGTTGTGTATATAGGTAGTTTTAGTTTGTTTAGGCTGGGTCCACTTGCAATCGGACCTTAGTGGACCGCAAGCTTCATATTATAAGCTACAATATTATGTCAGTATATAGGTATGTCAAGTCAAGCTTACTTGTAAATTTTAATTTAAAAATCGGAATTATACATTATAATATAAATAGTGGGAATTGAGATTAGTACCTAGTGGGTAAAGTTAAAAATAAAATATTCGTAATAGATCTTATGAGCATTTTATTGTTATAATAATATATTTGAACAATGTGTTTTAATTTACCTATATACTAGTAGGTATATAGATAGTTATTACTTATTAGTAACATTCATATAATCATATGTTGCCATGTTGGAAAATATTTAAGAGAAATTAATAACTTAGAAGGGTATACACAATTTAAATATTGGGTATAATAATATAAAATATTATGATTAACTATTAAGTCATATTAAGAGCAAATATTATATTTAGTTAAGAATTATAACCAATTTAGATTTTTATAGGTAGGTATCGTAGGTATACAGTCAATCGAGTCTCGATAACTAGAATCTCGAGGGGAATAAAACAAAATTCAACTTATGTATTTTTCTCGTTATATAGGTGCCTCAAACACAACATAACACAACCCTTCAAGGGTCAAGAAAATAATTCGAGTTATCGCGACTCTACTGTATAATTATTTATAATATACTACCTAATGTTATTTATCTGATAAATTTATTGCACTTCATTCATTACAGCCTAATTAGTTTAAGGAGTCAATTTTTCTTCTCTTAGTAGTATAATATAACCCTATACCTATTAGATTTGATTCATAGCCAAGCGTATAGTACTCGGAGTATCATACTCCCGATTTTCGATTTACATAATTTAAGTTCGTAAGCTCCGATGAAAATTAATATAAAAGTAAGAATACAAGTACGATTCATTATACTTTAAAAGAAAAATACATCTATAAATAAGTTACAAAACGTTGATGAGATAAGTCACCCATTAAGGATAGGTACTTGTAGATTGATTTAGTTTTTTTTCTTTTAATCGAGTATATTTAATTATTAAAGAAAACATGCAAAACGTTTAAAACCGTATTATTACTGTATTTCAATTAAAACAAATAATTGTTGAAGTTCTTAAATCTTAAGGTATCCTCCAATCAGTTAAATTTAGACCTATTTAGTTAATTTCGAGTAATTTTCTTTGTAACTTTCACTAAAATATGGGACAAAGTGATATTTTATATTGATTAATTTTGGTATTGTAACACGTGTAGTAAAAACAATTCTACTAATTTAGCATAAACCAAAATGTATGCTTTCCATGAGCACATAATTATTAGACTAATATTCGAACACCTACTTGTAATGTAGATTATGCCTTGGTATAGTGAAAAGTAAATTTAAGACACACCCGAATGTGTTGTTTTGGTCTTACAAAAGTTGGTTTGTTACAATATTTCAATTTTTAAGTGAGTTATGGTAATTTTAAAATACTACATACTTATAAATTCAACAATAAAAATTATAATATTATAAAATTCCTGCTTCCAAATTCACAATACATTATTATAGATAACCAGATAAGACTTATCCGAGATAACGTGATTCATTATAATATTAAAGCTACGACAACACAAAATTGGTTATGCTGACCACAGATTTATTATGTGTATAAGTTAGGAAAACGGAGACAACTTGAATTAACTTGACTCTTTATAGAAAAAACAAACGAAGTTAACTTTTCTGAGCATACCTAAATAAATACGTTGTCCGACAATATAGGTATTAATGACCTTAAGTTTTAGACCAGAAAATATATACTGAAAAATACACACACTTTATTATATTAAACCTATAGTCTGAAATAAATAACGATTTTTAGTGAAGCAATATTCTCCGAGAATATGAGTTAATAGTAAATAGTGAGATTAAAGTAATTAAAAGACTTCAATGATATTTAAAGTGGCAATGATCATTGCAAAATAAAATATTAATAATGTGTGAAAAATAAAAAATGAAACGTTTATATTACGTCTAAGACAGCAGTTGGACGGTAGTTCCAATTAATTGCATAAATAACTAAGTCAATTTGAAAGAAGAAAGTCCGAAAGTATTACTGAAAGTAACAATTGTTTATACTTTATAACATGACATTAAGTATGTTAATGAGTTTTTAGATGAAAAATTTAATATTAAAATCACGATGTCGCAACTCGCAAATTCACGGGAGATGATTGATTATAGAGATTGAATAATATATATCATTAGACGAGTTGAGCACATAAACAGTTAGGTAGGTACTAAGTAGGTAGGTAAGTATTGGTAGGTATTATTTTAGTAGTGTAATATAATTGACGTTTGTGTAAAAACTAAAAAAACCATCATCACAATTAGAAAGTTTAATAATTAGAAACATAAATTGTATAATGTTAGTTATACATACCTACTAACTAGGTATGTTTGGCTTACATAATAATATATTATAATTTATATAAACCAAAAGCTTAAACTCTAATTCAATAATTATAAATTATAAGAAATTCGTCTATTTATTAAAATAAAATATTAATATTAAATAATTTAATTGTTTTCGTTTATGAATTTATAAGCAACTATAACACTAAATAGATAGTTTTCAAGAACGAATTCATTTTATTATAAAAATATTATTGCTGTTACAGTTTTTTGATTTGTATCTATCACCGTTCACCGTAGGAGTTTAACAGACCATTAATTATATGATGCAAATTTGTACAACAAGAGTGTTGTGGACGGTGGTTTATCTTACTATTATGAGGTACTTTCTATTATTAGAAAAACAAAACGATTTGGCGGTGCTTACACGTTAACGAACAACAACCTATATAATATACAATAATATGTTTATCTTACATGGAGATTTTGTTTGTCAAAATCGATCAGTGAAAGTATTAAAGCTTCATATTATTATGTTTACGCGACTGGAATAACATTTGCATTTCGCTTAATAAACCGGAATAGTTATTAGTTGGCTAAAGAAAAAACTGAATGGTTTCTATTTTTTTTTTGTTTTTGCCTAAACGATTATGCAATGCAATTCTATAGCTAAAACCTGATGAATTTCCAAGTAAAAGAAAGTTCTAGTCTCAGTGTAACACATCTTTGAATGAATGGAATTTGAAATATAGTAAACTGATTTGGATAACATGTCACTATTGAATTCGAATAATGCAATAAAATGGGTTTACGTAATATTCTATACCATTATTATGAGAACAACTATGACGTTAGCAATTTTATTATCAAGTTAGGTACTATTTAATGAAAATTAGTCGTGTTATATACTTATATAGATTACACATGCTTATAGCAATTTGGTTATTATTTATAAATCTGTCAACATTTAAGTATACGTTTAATTCAGTTTTGTATTCTTTTGAATTAAACGTCTATATAAGAACTTACTATACATTTCTAAATATTTTTTTTTACAGAATATTATGAACAATTTGTAAAAGATTTTGCATTGGTTGTCAGTTTATTTTTATCAATTTTAAAATTAAATAAATATACTTTAATCAGTCCATTACGTAATTTTATGCTTTGAAGTTTGAATAGTACATTGCTTAGTCATTTGGAAATTAAAAAATATATAAAACAATCAATGTATTTAATTATTTTTATTATTATACCCCTCTTTTTAATTATTATTATATTACCAAAGAGGTTTGCCGTCTGATTTCTCTACTAATCACCCATATTTAAATCATAACTTTAATTTATATCGTTTTTATTTAAAATTTTTTCGTATCAATATTTCTTTTATGGTTGCTAAACAATTTATATTCATCAACAAATAAAAGTTTCAGTAATTTTTTTTTTGTATAATAGAAATATATATTACCTATTTGTTTTAGATTTTGAGTGTAACGATGAATGTATTGATTTTATAATAATATGTGTTATTTATTTTATATTTTTATTGTTGAAAAAAATGTCTGATTAAAAACTTAGATAAAGGTTTCTCGTTGGAAATGTGATCTGGTTGGTATTTTTGGGAGAATAAATTTTTTGTGAATTCTCATCATTTTTTTTTAAATATACCGGAAAAATAAATAAAAATACTAAAAAATGTATAATTTAAAAAATAATAAAAATTGTTTTACAAGTCTAAAATTATATCTTATAGAATCTGATTAAAAAAAAATTGCCTTTTCATATGGCTTATTGTCCCATTTTTGTTTTTAAAACTTTTATTATTAAGCATCATAATTAATATTTATTTTCTAACTGGTTTTTAGAGGAGTTAATAATATGATCGTTATAAGTATCCATGAATGAAAGAACGAATTAATATTATTATTATACTATTACGCGTATCTGCGTGAGTCTTATCTAATTTTATAACGGGGGCGTGTGTATGCAAAAAATGTACATTAGTGTGAGTAAACACTAAACGATTGGTTTTTCGTTTTACAGTTTTTGGCGGCGGTGATCTTTTGCTGCGCAGCAGTTACAGTAAATGTAGCGGAAAAACCAACAGAGACACCAATTGATAAACGGAGCACAGCCAATGGGTACGGTTCTTACGCCGGTGGTTATGCTCCGACCACGGATTACGGTGCGGCGGCTGTACAAGACGGCGCTGCGGCTTACCAATACGCCGCAGCGGCTCCGATCGCCACCGGTCAATACGCTACGGGTCAATACGCCGCGGTTCCGGCGGCTGCTTCCATTGGTGCCTTAGTGGTGCCTACCAACCAGCTATTCTACCCGCAGCAACAAGCGTACGGATACTCGTCAGGTCCAGCTTACGCCGCCCCGCTGACTTCGGTGGCTTATAGCGCCTATCCAGCCACGACTTATGGCTTCCAGTCACCAACTTACAGTGCCGGTCAATCGGCTGCTTATGGTGCCGGTCAATCGGCCGCTTACAGTGCTGGTCAGTCAGCCACTTATGGTTCCGGCCAATCGGCCTCTTACGGTGCTGGTCAGTCAGCCACTTATGGTTCCGGTCAATCGGCCGCTTACGGTGCCGGCCAATCGGCTGCCACCGCTGCTTACAGCTCACCACCGGTCGCTTCATACAGCGTATCATCCTCAACACCATATAAACCAGGGCCCGTGACTTTCGGCAAACCGGAAGCTGATTTGCAAACCAACTTGGCACCATCGTACCAAACGTCCCCGGGACTTAGCAATTACGTTTCTTCATCTTTCAAGACCAACAAGTATCCATCGTACTCACCATCCTCCTACCCGTCTACGTCAAGCGAATACTACGCAGCACAGCAGTCGTCGTCGTACGGGTCACCGTCCAAACCTAGTAGTTACCCATCATCAGTGTACCCGTCTGACAACTCATACAACAAATTTAAGTACCTGCCACAGAGTTCGTTGTACGGTGGTGGATCATCGTACAAACCATCCCCATCTGCCCATTACAAACCATCATCACCGTTCGATGCATTCGCTCCATCTTACGGACAATCTTCGTCCTACTCGTCTTCACCTCAAAAGTATAGTAGCTCTCCCTCGTATGGTGGTAGCTCTTCCTCATATGGTGGTAGCTCTTCATCGTACGGTAGTAGCTCTCCCTCGTACGGTGGTAGTTCTCCCTCGTACGGTGGTAGCTCTCTCTCATATGGTGGTAGCTCTCCCTCGTATGGAGGAAGCTCTCCCTCGCACGGAGGTAGCTCTCACTCGTACGGTGGAAGCTCTCCCTCTTACGGTGGAAGCTCTCCCTCTTATGGTGGAAGCTCTCCCTCTTACGGTGGAATCTCTCCATCTTACGGTGGAAACTCTCCTTCGTACAGTGGAAGCTCTCCCTCGTACGGTGGTGGATCTCCCTCGTACGGTGGTAGCTCTCCCTCATATGGTGGTAGCTCTCCCTCGTACGGAGGAAGTTCTCCTTCATATGGTGGTAGCTCATCCTCGTACGGCGGTAGCTCTCCTTCGTACGGTGGTAGCCCTCACTCGTTCGGTGGAAGCTCTCCCTCGTACGGTAGTTCATCTCTGTATGCTGGTAACTCTCCCTCTTACAGTGGTGGCTCTTCTTCGTATGGTTCACCGTCCCCGTACAAACCGTCGTATGGATCATCATCACCTTATAAATCGTCGTCCTCGTACAAGGCGCCATACAGCAGCTCCGGTCCATCATTTGAATCATCATCCTCTTATAAGTTGTCTCCATATTCTGGCGGATCTTCCTACGAAGGATCTCCATCCCCATACAAATCTTCATCTTATGAAGGATCTTCATCTTCCTACAAGTCATCACCAACCTATTCATCAGGTTCATTCAAACCAATTGCTTCTTCCTATTCTCAGAGCGAATATGAATCACCGTCATCTTCTCCTTACAGTTCTAAGCCAAGTTCATACGAATACAGTTCTAAATATTGACACTAATACAATGTTCCTTTTTTAGATAAATTAATTTGTATGATAAAAAACGTTTAGATTGTATGTTTAAATTTGAAACTTATGTTTTTTTTATTAATCATACAATTAAGTTATTCTTGAACTGTTAAACAATTTGAGATATGCTAGTTCACAAATATTTGTTTTTGTATTAATATTAAGTGCTTTATTTAAATTACATTTATGAATTAGTGATTAAATTATAAGTATAATAATACGTTATTTATTTGATCGCAGATCATAATTACCGCAATCAAACATTATATTTATGAATTATATAAACCAAATATACTTATAACTTTTTTATATATATATATTTAATGATTTATAATTTGTACACCTGAATAGTAACATAAAATTAATTCATGTTACATTATGATATATATAGTTTTTAAATCAATTTAAAAGAAAAATGAGTAAAGTTGTATGATATTAGACTTGATTCTGTGATAGAACACTAAAATATAAATGTTCTTAAACAATAGTTGGATATTATAGTAAATTATATTTTTTACTTTATTAATATTGTTAACTTACAAATGGAAACAATAATAGAAATTAACTTAAATTATACTATCAAAACGTTTACATATAAACTCTATCTAGGAAAAGAACACACCGATTCGGCGCACGTCCACGTAACATCGTAATATTGAGACCGGTTCCACTATGGTAGGCTGGAGGCACGTATACAGGGGAATGATACAACCCCTCCCCCACCCACAAAAATGTATAGTCAAGTAATGTATTTATATCAATCATCTATGAACCTTCCCGAAAACGACTGAACCCCTTCCGAATTTGTATGTTCCTTACCTATGGTAAGATGTCGCGTGGTTCCTCGCTGGACAAAGTTTAAGTTCTTATTCTTATTTCTCATAACAAATATGAATTAGAGCTATATTGTACAATAATTACCTTTATTTTTAATCATCTAATCTAAGTTACTAGCTATAATCATTATTTTGTATAATAGGCTTGTAAGAACCCCTTTTATAATACATAACCCTTAGTTAGAGTAGGTTCCTACATATTTTTATTAATTTTAAATGGTTGGTAATCAACTTTTTATGCTAATATAATATCAGTATTTATAGTAAATGTTTAAATTTATAATTTAGATTTAAATAAAAATAATTATTGTTAGTTATTGTCTTAAGTTGTAAGTATAATATTAAAATGTCTGACTTAACATTTAACAAACCCATACATTTACTGAATATAGATATTTTTTCTATTGAAATTTAAAACTTGACATACTACATTAATATTAATTAAGTATTCATATTATTTTATAACATTCAAATTACACAGTTAACCTTATAAACAATGATTAATTTTAGGTTTTAAAACCGTTATTATTCCTGTAAGTATTTAGTTTCAAAGTTAGTTAAGATAAAATGCCCGAAAAAAATATTATCTATAGAGTATAGGGTTTTTTTGAAATTATTTAGTTACTGTAATTAGAATAATACAAAATGTTAAACCTGTACTTTGATAGGTTGGGTTGAATTAGGTAGGTACCAGTAAGAAAGTATTGTTATACAAATATTATACCAAGAAAATAGAAAAGTATTGGGTTAGGTTAGGTAACATACAACATTAAATATTCAATATTTATCAGGAATTATTGAAAATTAAAAATTATTTAGAGATCGTTTAGTATGTTTAGTATATAATTTCAGATTTGCATTAACAATTATTTATTAATTTAATGGTCCAATAAAATACAATGTACCAATCATGTTTAAGGGACAATAGCTCACTATTAATTCGTTAAATGTTTATTGATTTTTTGAATGAATATAATATGTTTTTAAACTCGAATTCCAAGTTTGATGGTGTTTTCAGTTTACTATTTTCAAAATGTCATGCTTGTACTTAAAAGTTTTTAATAATAAACCAATAAATAACAAAATAAACACAAATTTCCAATTGATTATTTTATGACAAAATAATATAATTTTATCATTATTTAACTTTGAAATTTAATTGTAAATAGTATATCTATGTACTAATTAGTAATTAATTAGTGTTAAGTATACCTATATACTAACTAATCAACTATTTAATATGAAATAATGTAAAAATTATATTTGAAAAAATAATATTATATTTATATAAATTAAATCTCTTAAATTTAAAAATAAGGCTATTATAATATAAAGTAACTCTTTTAAAAAATATTCAAAAGTCAGGAAAATTAACACTCCCGGAGAGTGGTATATTCTTCACTTTTTGTTAATTAATACAATAAACATTTCTAAAAACCGGTGTCAAAGTTAAAAATAATTATACATCTATATAACAGTCAACATTTTTAAATTTTTAAAACACTGGTATTTGTTTGAGTATTTTAGTTTCTTTTTTTTTTATAATTTATAGTTGTCTTGAGTGTTGTTGATTTAGGTTAATGTAAAAATAACAACTAGTTTCGGTATCATTTGGTAATATAATACAATCAAGGATGGGCACTTACGAGTTAAGATACTCTTGTAAGTTGTAACTTTTACATTTTATGTATTAGACGTTTATTTCTAATATTAAATGTTTTACCACGTTTTCCTAAACATTTATTTAATGTACAAATGTTCATAATATAACTGAAACGCCTAACATATTTTAATGCCACAATGATGTATTGACTATTGATGTGTAGGTTAGGTTTTGTCCAATGACCAATACCATACACCATAGTAATTAGTACTATATACTATCATTATACACTATACTACTATACGCACCACTACTATACATTGGAATTTATGAAAACGAAGATGTATAATTTTATTTTTAGGTTATTTTCAATAAGTGTGTGACATTATTGGATTGATTTTCTCCTTAATATTCGACTAGGTAATTATTATTTGTATGAGTATTTTATTTTTATTACATATATAGTTTATCTTACTCTTATCTCTTATATCAATATATGTACTTATTGTATGCCCTGAAAGTATAGGCCTTGTATTTTTCTTGTAAAAAAAAAAAAATATGCTATATTAAAATGTAAGCGGGAAACCAATAATACCTTATACTATAACTATCTTAAAGACTTAAACTTCATGATTTCAAAGCTGGTCTGATCTTACAAAAATGAAAAATATTTATTATTTGTGTTGTATTATAACATTAATAATATGTATATTATAATAATAATGTACCTTTGCGTCTATTTTGTTGCTTTATTATAATAAATAAAACATCTATATTACGATTTAAGGGAATTTATTTGTACTTATTAATAATCATTAATCTGTTATTATTTGTTTGAAAATATTTGGCATAAAAATGTTATCTTTCATCATCAGTTTATTTAATATATTATAAAAATATATTTTCTATAAAATCATGTTATAGTTTTGCAATAATTCTGTATTTGATAAAGTAATACACTTTTAGTCTCATAAACATATAAAATCAACAGTTAATATTATTATTAATTAGAGAAGAGTATATCTATACAGTTTGATACGGTTACAGTAGGTAGTTAATTAATACTTATAACCCGGTGATTGTGTGGCTAATTTGTAGAGATCAATGACAGTTTCCACTTTCCTACTATCAATTTGAGACGCTCCTAGTGGAGAATAAGTAACATTTAGTTCTATTTCTCTCTCAGTAAATAATTACAACTATACGGTATTTATTTAAAACATATTTTGAATTAAAACGGTCGATAAAAAAATTAATATTATGGTTTTCATAAAATATACACTTTTTGTATTTTGTAAAACTAAATACATCATTAATTTTAATACTGATGAGTTAATTAATTTGAATGAGATACATTATCATTATAAATGTAAGCTATAATGCTAGTTAAAGTATATGTACCTACCTAAAAAAGCCAAAGGCCATCGATACAGAGGCTAAAAAAATTTATGATTTTACAGTTTTAACAGTTTTAAAATGTTTTAACATATTAAATTACAAATATTATTATTACACTGAGATTACGTAATTTTATAATTTCATGATTTCATAATTTTAATATGTTTGACTTCAATATAGCACATTATTCAGCTTATTTTATTAATTTGATGGAGTAGGTACTTAATACATGACTTCCTCTTAATATTATTTCAAAACTTGTGCAGGTATTCAGAGTTTATACATAGCTAGATACTATACGTATCTACACTTAAATATCTGATTCTGAGTTTACGTTTTATTATACTACGATTTCTATTGAATTTATAAGTAAAATATTATTTTGTTTTCATTTGTATTAATAGAATTTGGTATTGAAAGAAAATACTAAGAATTTTGATCATATTATTCAATAGCAATAAAGTCAAAACTAAACAAATATACTCATCAACGACCTTGTCATTAGAAAGTAATCGTTTGTTATATCGCGAAAACTAGTTATACGCCTTTTACTTCCCAGTCTTTCTTCGTTATTGGCTCGAGTTTCGAATTTGAATGCAATATTTCAATGTTAAATGTATCGTAGGTACCATATGCACACAAACAAATCGGTAGGCCGTACGTATTTAAAAACTAAACTAAATATTTTGTTGTTATAATCGTGCGAAAAGTAGTTTTGCATTTCGTGGTGTTGAAACGCTACGAAACAATATTACGTTATTCACAAACATATACTTATAGTATAATAATGGGCCTTGATACACATAATGTTGTTTGTATAACAAAATTACCGTCGGTAATCTTTAATCGACCAACAATGGGGCTAATATGATGATGGATAAGACATGTATTTACGCACATTGTTCCGGTTGCAAAAAATCAAAATTACGTCATAGAAAAATAATTATACTATTTTGTTAAATTTTTTATAAGTATCTTTTTCTTGTAAGGCGATTTGCATGTCCTGCACAAACAATGCCTTTTCTCTTTCACTTCCTCTTGGGTTAACGACACAGGTATCCTGTATAAAATGACCAGCTGAAGAGTTTTAGTTTGTTTTGTTAAATTTAAAAGTTGAATGCTCGAGATTACAAATAATTGTTACGTAGGTCAGTCATAAAATATGTGATGCAAGCCCATGAATAAGGTACATATAAATACATCATAAGTGTATTTTTATATTGCATACTTTATTAACAACCTGTTAGCTGTCTACAATGGCCGATACGAGGGGTGGAAGCCCCTTCGCCCCCACTTGGGCTGTCTTTTTAACTTTATTTTCTATTATAATATTTGGCTAAACAAAAAGAGAATTTAATTTTTGAAAATTCGCCCCCCCCCCTTGGGTGACTTCTGGATCCGCTACTGACTGTCCATAAATACATAAAGTAGCATTTCTAGTTTTGGTGCTTTGCGTTTATATAGGTATTTAATGCTGTTAGGAGTACTTAGGACAGACAGAAAAAAACACACACACATCATTGTATTTCGCTCCTCTCAGAATCTAAAAATAAAAATATATAATAATTTTGTTTTTAAAACTAAAATCATATTATAAGTATGTCCTTGAAGTTTATCTCCCAACTTTGTCCGATCGATTTAAAACGTGCCAATATTTTACAAAAATATTACAAATTGGTTTTTAAAATTTGCAAATAAGTCTTTTTAAGAGTTTAAGCTTTTAATCTTTTAGCTTTTTAAGATTTTTAAATTCCCAATGCTTCAATAATAATGAATATTACAAACCAATGTATGACAATGTGATAATTTGGTTTTAGAACAAATTTATATGCTTATTGAACTGTATGTTCTTCATTTTGACTTACATTTGTCAATTATTATCTCCATTCTCCATACAAAGTAGAAATGCAAATTGATAACTTTCCTTGGATAATATAACTTTTCGAGAGATTGTTCTACTATTAATGTAAAGACTTGTGAATTTGTATACAAGTAACATAGGTAGTTGACAAATTGATCGATTCCTTTGAAGTAGAATTTTATTTTTAAATATTATATGCCTAAATATGTAGTTATTTATTTATTAATTACTCTACTACTAAATTGAAGATACAACTCTTTTATTTGTATCTATACCTACTATTTTGTTATCAGACGAAAGTGTCTTGAATGTTCTTCGAAGTTATAAACTTTTAGATCTTTTAAGTCATAATTGGATAATTTCCCTATATGGGCATATGGCTATATAGTATATAAAAAATATATTGCGTACGGAATATCTAACAAATTTGGCTGAGATGGTTCTACTAAATAATATAGTATGGCATATTATTATACTACCCGGTTAGAGAGATATGGAACAACACATTTTTCCCAAAGTTAGTAATGTGATAACATATTATAATATACATAAGACCCCCTTTGAAATATTTAATAGAGGTAAATTAGATGATTTGTGATAAGAAATAAATGAGTTTTTTAAATTTCATCTACCAGTGAGAAAAGCTTTATAATTATTTTAAAGGTGAGAATAAATAACTATTTCTTAATCAATTTTACAATATTTTTTTTTTTATTGATCTAAAACTGTTATAAAAATTACAATTATTTTTTTTAATGTATATTCTTAATTATAATATTTACAATATTTTATTGTATGTACTTTCAAACATATTTTTTTCAAATTATATTAAAAATTGAAACATTTTTCAATTCTGCTGCTTAATTTGAAAATTATTAGCTTATGAGTCTTGTCGGTAAAAACTATACTATCTGTAGTTTGTTTTCAATCGTTATTTTATTATTCAATTTATAGAAACATCTAATACTAGACTAAAATTTAAAATTTAAATAACTGTTAAGTAGCTACCAAATATTGATATGAATTATAAAACAAAATAGTAGTCAGTAAGACTCTAAAAGGTATGTTTTTTCCAAAAAATAATTATCCATTTTATTATTATTATGTTTTAAACTTACATTTAACAACATAATATTTAACATAATTCAAATCAAAAATGTTGTTTATAATTTGAAGTGCCTATTAAGAAACCTATGTTGAGATTTGAAACTTGTTACATCAATTTATCTTTGTCTTATTTAATCTAATTATGTGGGTGAAACGATAATTTTTACTTTTTAAAAAAAACATGTGATTAAATGTTTTTACTTTTTATTTAAGTTATGTGTTGGGAGAGATATTGTATTACATTAGAAATGTAATCTTTTTAATGACATAGGTACTATAGAATATTGGTAAATAAATGAATATTTTATGTTTAGCCAAAAAAATGTTCTACCATACTACACCCCTCCCCCTCACCCACGGGTTACCTTAGTAATAAAAATAATTATTTTATCTTCAGTTCGAGGTCAGTTTAATTATATTTCTGCACATATTTTGATATTAGGGGGTTTTATGATACTATTCACTATTAAATTTAAATTATTAGCAGATATATTTGTCACAGTTTAGAATGTTTAGATATTATATAAACCAACGACCCAATGAATACTGTTCCGTATTATTATAAATTTAATTACGGTATTATCTAGATATATATATAATATTATATTCTTTAATATATCATTGGCCAGTGCATGACAAAAGATACAAAACATGGGTTACCTGTACGTGCCGCGTTTGATAAATTTCGCTGAACCATTTAATACAAAAGTGACAAAATCTAATCAATTCAACACTGGCGGTGGCAGCTGCATGCAAATGACATTGCCCGTGACATGACGCGTTTACATCGCGTGATCGGTGAACCTATTCGATTATTATATTTAGTAACTATATACATATATAGATAAATACAGTAGGGAAAAGATCACGGAGGTGTTTCCCCGTCGTTTGCTTGAATGAAAGCGATTTAAATTACCAACAATCCGTGTACGATTTGGAGCAGACTCCCCTCCTACCGTTTCCCACGTGGTTGCAGGGGAAATACATCTCGAAAATGTAGCCGTGGTCATTTTCGCACGTTTCCCGGCTCCAATAGTGTGTAGAGAGTGATCGCGGAAAATCTTTGTCGTTAGGTATCATGTTACCTACATTTGCGGTAAGTGTATATTATTATTATTATTAATATATATGAATAATATTTTAAGACTTAGCTTAATTTCATACATCCATATAATTCACTTTAATCTAATATAACAGTAGTCAGTGGTCAAAATATATTAATCGCACTCAAAATTTAATTTTCTCTAAATTCGTATTTATCACAGTATTATTATGAAATATAAAATAAATATTTTTGAGTTTATGAAATGTTTGGCCAATTTAACAATCATAATACTGATGGATAATTTAAAGTTCATAGAAATAATTGTTTTGGAGTTATATTACTCGATGATTCGTTAAATAATAACACGCATGTAAACTGTTATATGCGGAGTTATATGTACTTGTTCATTGTTGTAGCTTGTGTTGTATGCAGCATTGTAGATATCTATGGTTAATGATATTTATTTTATATTTGGATTTTGGAAACTATATGTGAAATAAAAATATAAAATTAAAGAAAGCAGTTTAATTTAAAAATATATACATTATAATGTCCATTATTATATTACATTTTATCATTACACATTTTTATAGCGTGTATTTAAAAGACTAACATAACAAACGGTATTTTAATTTACAATTCAATAAACATTATTAAATTTGGAATAACAATACCTAATTAATAAAATAATTTTTTTTTCAATATATGAGTTATTAGTTTATATGTTATAACTTTATAGGTTTATAACCACTTAAGTTATTATAAGTAGGCATTAGTAACTTCATACAAACTGTAAATATGTATCAGTAAGTAATACATTAAATACGCATGCCTTTTTAATAATTAAAACAAATAAATTATTTTAAAAATTCTAGTAAAAATAGAGTTTTATCTTATTGCAAACAAAAAATACTGAGTATTCTTTTAATTATTAATTACTACTAGATTATTTTAAATGAAATAATATGTAGTTGATTTAGAACACAGAAAAACAGAACATATTGCCTATGTAAAGTTTGAAAGAAATTTAACTTACAATTCATATATAATTATCGATAATCATTAATTTATAATAATGTGTACTGTGTAGGCAGTAAGAATGTTCATTTACAATAAATAAATGTAACAATTGAGATTATAAAAATAATATACTATAGATACCTATAATTTTTTAGAATTACGTTTTGGCTAGTCATTTCATTTTTTACCTTATCGAATTTCCAGTGGATATTATTCTTCCGCCCTGCTAAATAATGATTATTCTTTAGTCTTAAATAATATTACAGTGGGCAATATTATCCACTTTCCCCAATTTTTATAACACACCAATGATTCGTATCGGCTTACGATTTTATCGTATTTAGAGATTATAGTTATCATCGTATCTAATTACCAAATCATTTTTTTAATGACTTCCATTTTAGCTTACAATTTTAAGCAGTTGATTTATTTGTCGTACTAATCTGAGTGTTTAAAATGTTACTTATGTTAATAAAATATTTTTCATCGAATAGGCTATATAGCTATTCATAAACGCAATTTTCAAAGTTCATGAAAAGCAAATGTATACAATTTTTTTTGTGCTGATTAATCACATAAATACAAAGTGTTTAGTATTTACCCCTGTTGACCAAACATTAACCAAATTCATGTATAAAACTATATTTTTAGATAATAACTCCCTTACTTTTTTATTATCTTATATATATATATTATATAATATAAGATTGTGACTCGCCAAACTAACTCGATACTCATCTAATTTTTGTTTTTAGTATTGCATTCATTATTAATATAATTTGAAATTTTTGAATACACCTAAGTTTCATAAAATTTTAAAATGATTGTTTTTTTTTTATACTATTTAAGAGGTACTCTTTAAACTCCTTTTTTTTTAAAAATAATAACCAACGTATTTTAATATAAATTGTTAAGCAGATCATTTTTTTTAAATGTCTATGTCTAAATATAAATTCAAACAAGTATACTTGTAAGCTACATAGTTTTTGAGTCATCAAACTTAGGGTACCTAATAACGATAATATGATAAGAAGATATTATTATTATTATTTATTTATTATTAATTAAATCCCGTTAGGCAATTTTACAGTAGTGAAAATATATTGGGGCTAAGAAGGGGGAAGATATTGGTTGATTTGAAAATAATAGCTATAAATATTAATCTATTTATATTTTATAATTTTTAGAAATTACCCAAGTATAATAAGTACTAGTTTAAATATTACTCATTTACATAAATTGTCTATTTTATGTAAACCTATTATAAAGAATTATCTTCGTTATCTATAGTAAATACTACACAAATTGTATTATTTTAATTAGGTACACAGAAATTATTCGTTATAATTAATTATATTTAGATATATAGGTACAGCCAGTCATCAAAATGTTTGAAAAGATCATCTGATTAACAATTTATATTGAAAAATGATGGTTATTATTTGAAAAAAAATAAGATTGTATTGCCTAAAAAATTGACTTGAATTTTTTAAAAATCTAAGTAGGTAGGTATTTAAAAATGTGAACCTTCAGGCTTCTAAAAAACAGATTTTTAATGCATTATTTAAGAATAAAAGGGGTGAGCATGCTTGATGAAAATCACTCTGTAAACTATATACATTATACAATATACATGTAGTATGTTAGTATACCTAATGTCTTATGCAGTTATGTATAGGGTAAAATAATATCGAGGAACTTCTGGTAAAGTTCTTATGTTACCAAAACAATATTAATTATAACTTACAATTTTTGGTAAACTGTTTACTGAACTCTCATTTTATAATGTTCAGTAGGTACTACAAATTACGGTACAGACGATTGAACCGACTCAAGTAAAATTTAGTGAAGTAAGCTAAAACAGTTAGGTACATTGTATTGTTCCATCCGCGTTCAAAATAACGTAAAAAACCGTGTAACCACAAGAATTATTTTATGGTTTTAACAAAGACAAGACGCAATCACATTAAATACATAAAGCATCGTCTTGTCATTACGCCATAATGTTTTATATTTTTGACAACTTACTACTAGATTTTAAACTAAACACGTTTCCTGCAAAATATAATTAGGAGTTCTTGGTGACCTGTTTATTATATTCCACTAATGTATTATGGTCCGGAGCCACTGCAGCAGTAATTAGAGCAGCATGTAAAATTTTAATGAATACAATTTACTATATATAATAACAATTGTATTTGTTTTAGGTGTGTTTTTGGGCAACGACCGCGTTGGCGGCGTGCAGCACGAGGACTAGGGTGCACTACGTACGTTCCGATGACAGGTCACGGCGCGGAGACCAGTATTACCCGGAAAGTTATTACCCGGAAAGGTTACAGTCACGAGCATCATCCATTTTCGGACCTTCCATTCAGACCTCAGCGGCCGGGTTCCCGTACCGGTTCGTCTTTCCAGCCAATCACCCAGCTCTGAGTGGTTCCATGTACTCGCAGTTCGCTCAAAACCCGCACCAGCCCGAACCCGCGGGGTACTCGGCCGAGGACCTTTTTGGGCCACAACCGACGGCCAAACAGCATCCGCTGTCTGATCTCAAACACCGCCAGCATCAGCAACAACAACAGCAACAAAACCAGCACCAGCAACAGCAACAGCAAATCGGCTACGAGTCTATGGCTAAAATGCAATATGACTTCCTCGGGGGCGGTGGTGGTGGTAAAATACAAGCGCAACAGCAACCCTCTGCAACTTACCATCACCACCTGATCAAACAGCCAAAACACTATCAGAGCTACGAACTGGCGCCTAACGTGCTGCAGCAATCTCTGCATCAGTCACCTTATCCATCGTCACCTTCCATCGGTCAGCCGATTATGCTGCTCATACCTTCTTCCGGCCAGCCCGGCGCCCCATATCAGACTCTGGTACTGGTCCCATCGTCAGGGTCACCATCCCCGCTTCCGGCACCCGTACCCCTATTTCCGGGTTTCCACCAACAGGTCCAGCACCAGCATGGTCCACCCGGTCAGCAGTTTGTGCAACAGTCCGGCGGTTTCGTAACCACACACCCTCGTGGTCCTCCACTCGTCGCCGGCTTTCCGTCCGGTCTCGGCGGTGGAGGCTTCGGTGGGGGCCTAGGCTTGGGCGGCAGCGGTGTCTCCGGTCTTGGAAAGTTCCCAGGGGCGCAACTGTTCCACCGGTCACATGAACCACTCCCGAAACATCCGAACCACCAACAACACCAGCACAAGGCGTCGTCGTCGTCGTCGATACCATTGCTGCAGCCGACGTCGTACCAAGGTTCCGGGTCGACGCACGTGTCGCACACCACGGCTGCTGGATCGGCGGCGCAACAACCGCTCGAGGACAAGGTTGGCCAAGGTACCGGGACGTCCGGTGAAAAATCTGACGACCGTGACGACGATGGCAGAGACGGCATTAGTGGCAGCGGTGAAACCAAAAGTGAAGAAAAGTCACCCGAGTTCGGTGACAAGACCACTGTAAAACCCATCAAACCCATCAAACGGATCGTGGTCACGTGATGTGCTTACTTGAATAATAATATTAATATTAATGCGTACGAAGTGTTTCAGTATTAATTTTCTAGCGAAATTCCCATAATATACCTACAAAAGTTTTTATCGATTGAACAATATTTCTTAGCACATTACGAGATCAGCATACTAGGAAGATTTTTAAGACTAATGAAAATTTATTTAACTCATATAAACTCGTGCGTGTTATTTTGTTTCATTCCAGCAACCACATAAAAAATATTGTTCAATATTATTTATTATTTTTATTTTAAGATGTATTCATTGTTCAGTGCGTTTCAAGTAACTGTCGGTTTAGTTGTTAAATTAACTCGTGTAAATTTACATAAACTTTCATATTGTTAATCATATTTAAAAATAAAACTTTATTAATTGTAATTTAGTTTGAATAATGTTTTGTTTTTTAAATAAAATATATGTTTGTATTTTTGCAATTTAAGAAACCGTTGAGAGTTTATTTTTTATTTATATTGTTCATATATAGGTAAATACCAATTAAAATGTATGGATCATTTGGAAAAATAACATTTTGCTCAACTTAATAAAATTTGTAATAATATTGGTTGTTATTAGAGTAACGGAAGTATAAGATTTAGTATATTATTATTGCTTATTAATAATGATTTTACATTGAATTGATATAAACAATAAATAACAAGTATAAAGATAGGTAACATACATTAAATTTTACTTAGTTAGTTAGTTATAGTTAAGTATAAATGAAATAAATAGATATAAATAAAAATTTAAAAATAATTAAAGTTATGTACCTAGCTATGGGTATGACGTATATTTTATTAGATTATCTCATGAAAAGTTAATAGATACCTACATGAAAAGAAATTTTGTGGAACGAATTTTTGAGATGATAATTTTTTTTAAGGAAACACGGTTATGTTTTTAACAATTTAAAGAATACAATACGAAAACAATAAACGTGATACTGTGATAGAATGACGAATTTTTATTAATATTATTGATTGTAGATGGTGTAAGATTTCTGAAGAACAATGAAAAGCATTAATAAAAATGATGATAAATATGGACTTCCTAACTGAAAATTTCTTCACTGAAATAGACAATACTTTTAATAAAAATAAAAATAATAATAATGTATGTGTGTGATGAATTGACTGAAGTTGTTCTAAAAAGTGTTTCGAATTGTATTCGCTGTGGAAACGGTTGTTTTTTATCACTATTCTTCAAACAATATTATTTGTTCAGGTCTGTCCATCTTGTGAGCGAGCAATGTGTGTGGTTGGTCCTCTCGTTTATTATACCTGATGAATTTAGAAGGCAGATTTCGCTTTCATCGATCAGTTTTTAGAGACCATTGCGTTTCTTCAATTATCTATGGCCTGACTTGTCATTAACATTTCTTTTATCTACACATTGTTTATTTTTTTTTTTGGTAATAAAATAAACATTTGAAATGTTGAAGGTCGTCTGGACGAAAAAAAAAATAATTACATACTAAAACGACTACAAAATCTCAAACGCGTGAAAGGGTTTTTTTATTACTATTCCTATGACAGCACTGCAGGTAGTGTTAAAAAAACAATGAAACATAATATAAAAATTATTACACTGTTAGCATCGATACCCATTTTCAGAGATTGTGTATTACTATTATTTATTGAAATGACCGATAGGTTAACAATATGTAATTTGGGTTTTGAAAAGGCTACACTAACCCAATGATTTCTTATGTCTAAAGAAGAACCTCCTCCAATGCGAATCCTTTGGTGTTGGTTTGTGAAATGGTAATTTGTACCACCAATATACTAGGTACATTTATGTGCTTATGTAATCTATTCCAAAGTATACAAATAACATGTAATTACTAGTTTGCACCACATTTAAAAATTAATTTTGGTGAATTTCGAAAGGATATAAAACAACGGCATATATGTAATCAACGCCAAACTTCCAATTTCAATTGTTGGTATTTACCTGATGAATTCCAGAGCTAATATCGGTTATACCACGTAAAATGTGAATAATAACATGGACTATTAATGTACAATTAATTATACAATATTGTTTAAAATATACTACATCAAAGCCCCCCGCATCATCCCTCTTCTTAAATTTAATCATCAGATGCAATCTAAGCACCTATACATAAAAGAGCACCCGCTAGGGGGACAAAAGGGTCATTGTCTCCCTGTGAAGTTTTAAATGCATGCACTTAAATATCAATATCATTATAACTATTACATAATTATTAAATTGTAAGTAATTCTTATATCTTGCCGCGGGTGGGATTTTATCTTGAAGGTTCGCTTGCCTACATAATGCAATGTTTAATCATTTATTTTTATGTTTTTAAGATTAATTCTGTATACACATTAGGAAATTAGTTTTGGAATGACTATCGAATAGTTCGAATAGTGAACTACTATCGAATAGTTCGATAGTGACTATTCGATAGTTCCCATCACTTTAGGATCCCCTGGCCCCTGTATTATCTACCCTACGGTGCCCCTCTCCCATCTATCTAAAATATCTACTATGACATAAATTATAGATTAATTACCAGTGCCACTGGTCTGATGTATAGAAGTTATCGAGTGCAAGTATCTCATCACTGAGTAGGTCACTTTAATGGATTTGTTTAATTTGAATTCAATGTTAAATCATTGTATACAAAAAAATGATTCTGAGCGATGACGAAAACGGAATGTGAGCCTATATTACTTAGTTAATATTTTTTGGATATATTTATATTGCTATTATAATAGCTTATTTTACTATTAGTAATACGGCAAGTATAATGGTAGGTTAAATTAATTTTTGCCGAGAACATTGTACTTTATAAACTAATAACTATTAATATTTAATTATTATTTATTATAAAAATATAATATTAACTTTTGAGTCAATACCGACATACCATATTATAAAGTGGTGTAATGGAATAGGTTCGTGGTATAAAAAGGCCATTGCACAAAATTAATAATATGATTGTATTGAAAGTGCCATTGTGTATATAAATTATAAAATAAACGTAACATTTTTAAGTTGCCATGAATAATATTTTTGAATTACAACAAAATAAAAATTTTTAATTTTTTGTTTGAATATCCAACTTTGTAAAATGTCTATAAAAAAATAGTGATGATATATATTTTTTAGATTTTTAGATTTTAATTAGAACTATTTAGGAGTAACTCTGTATTAAATTTCCAAATTTTAACTATTAAAATTGAAATTTTCTTTTCTTATATTACCTAATGTAAAAATATAAATAAAGATAACTAAATACATTTATTGAAAAATTACAAATTTAGAATATGTAGTTGTTTGTTTAAAATTAATTGTAACTATATAACTTATAAGCCAACTTTTTTTTTCTTTATTAATAAAATACACAATCTGTACACAATAAGGCACAATAAAAGTATGGTTTATAATACAAAAGGAAGATAATCTGGAATGAAGAAGCCACCCACTGATGACACTTTCGTCTTTAAATTATTTTATTTTATACAGTATATACAATTTTTTTTTTTGTTTGTTTTAGATTAAGGGTTTGGTAGTCCCTATTTTCACTTAAGGCACCGATCAGGGTTACCAGGGATGGTTAATACAGCTAGATTTTTTATAAGTGTGTTTGGATGAGTATTAAGGCGTAGGTGAAACCGTTTATAATAATTTGTTGCCTCTTCTTGGATTGTTTTCATATGTAGGTCTTTATGCAGGGTGTGATTTGATACGTATGGTGGAGAATTGGTGATTTTTCTCAATGCTATATTTTGGAACCTTTGAATTTTATCTAAATTAGAATTGTTTGCATCGCCTCATAGCTGTCCAAATTGGCTTTAAGAGATGTTTGTAAAGAAGTAATTTAATATTTAGTTTTGAATGTTTGTTGTTGACGATTAGGGTTTTGAGCATTCGTAAGCTGGAGTTTAATTGTAATCTTTTGGCTTTGATGTGCCAATGTAAGAAGGCGGTCGAGAGTTAACCAGAGATATTTAACAATTGGGAATGAGGGGATCTGAGTACCGAAAAGCGTTACTTCTGGACATGGTGCTAATTTAAGTGTAAATGTGGTATGTACTGATTTGGATTAATTTATTTTAAAACGCCACTTTTTATACCAGTCTTCTATTAATGAAAGATAGTTTTTTAGGTTTTTGGGAGCTATAGTAGGATCTGGACTGGATGATATTATGACTTTGTCGTCCGAATAGTCTGCTATAAGCCAACTCAAAAAAATCAAAGATGATATTTAAATGGTCAGCTATTGAATAGTTTATTTATATTATCTGTTGAATTATTATACAGTAGGGAAATTATTTTGATAAAGAATAAAATAAATGGTAAAATTATAGTATTAAGAGAGTCATGATGACTAGAACCTTGATAACTTGAATTTTTTTCTTGTCCCTTAAAGTATCTAAATTGAAAATTACACAAGTTGGAATTATTATTATCCCCTTTGAGATTTGACTTGTTGAGACTCTGCAACTATAATGTACCTATTATTGTTTTTTAGTATCTCAATAGTCAGAATTAAATACATTCTATAATTTAAAGACTAGATAAGTAAAATATATAAAAAAAAAACATACGCAATCATAAATATATACGAACTAAAATAAAATAACACGTCGTGTTCTTTCAGCTACAGTATTAAGGGGCCCGTGTATAGATGTCACAATATACATTTTATTTTATTTTTATATGGTATATAGTTTTCAACAGTTTAGTCATTAGCCTATGATTATATCTACATTAACTGGTTAGGTTATTTGCTTACCTAAATTACAATATTTCATTTATAGTTATAAACATTTTTTTATTTTTTAATGTTATTCACATGTTTATATAGTTATCTACTTATCTTACCTTGTTTTAAATTTTGGTATCCATACCGATGGCTTTGAAAAAGTTGTAAATTACTTGAGTGTTCTGTTCCCAAGTGCTTCTTCCATAGATGAAAGCTGTTTAGATGTTTGAAAATGAATCTTGAGGAGGCA